CTTGGAAATAGGAATGAGACCAAGTCCAATATTGTGGTCACTCAGAGGCAAGCCTTTAATTAGGGCTTCACCAAAGGTGGACAGCACTGATTAAGGAACTAGGCTGTTTCACCAAGGCAAGATGTGGAAACTTTTATTGGTTTTCTGGGGTGAGGCAAAGTCCAATAATTTCCAATAACCAGGAGCATGATTCCAAAAGATTTTTTTTCTTGCAAAAAACTAGAATACTGGGCCAACAGGAGGTTAAAGAAGAATAAAATAAAGAAAAAAGTGGGGAGGGGGAGAGGGACAAGCCAGGCACAGGGGCACACACCTGTAATTCCAGCAACTTGGGAGCCTGAGAAACAATTGTAAGTTCAAGGCCAGCCTGAGCAACTTAGCAAGACCCATCTCAAAATAAAAAGGGCTGGATATGTGCCTCAGTGGTAGAGTTTCCCTGGGTTCAATCCCCAGTACCAAAAACAAGAACAAAAACCAAGAAAAAAAATCATATAAATATTTTGATAAATCATAAAACAAACACCAATATAAATACAGACATCATTTTTTAAACTACCATGTTGAACCTAGCAAAATGAAAAGGCTAATAGACCAATATGTACAAATTTAATTGATTCCAGTAATACATGTTGTTTTACCATCTGAAAATCAAAGAATGTATAGTTCATTTTGTTAACAAAATTAAGGATTTTTAAAGACCCTGATACATGCAGAAAAGGCACTGGATAAAATCCAATATCAATTTGTGATTTTTTAAAAACATTTGGCAATCCAGGAACAAAACAGAATTCCCTTAATTTGATAAAAGTTATCTATGAAAATTTACAAGTAGCATTATATTTAATGGTGAGATGTTGAATACTCTTTCATACAGGAACAAGGAAAAGATATTCATTTTCATGACCTCTATTCATTAAATAAGACAAGAAAAATAAATGAAAGTTTTACAAACCAGGTGAGAATTACTTGAGTGAGTTAAATTTCTGTCACTAGCTATAAAGCTGATGTAAGAAAAAGATATTGCAAAGGTATGTACTAATTCAAAAATTAGAAATAAAAAAAAAATTACCAAGCAAAACACACCACGTATCTAGAAATAAATTAAACAAAGGCATTCAAGACCTCTACAATTAAACTACAAAACACCTTCAGAAAAGTTAAAGACAACCAAGGTAAATGGATTGTTGCATCATGTTCATCAATTGAAAGATGCAATTCTGTAAAGATGTCATTTTTCCTTAGGTTATTCTATAAAATGGACCCTGAATATTTTTATAAAAATTAATAAATTCTAAAATTAGAATTTATTACTAGATTTCCAAAAATACTACAAAGGAATGCAAATTAAGATAGTATGGTGCTGCTGCAAGGAAAGACAAACAAATCAAAAGACATAAATTGCCTACCTAAACGGAGCGAACACATGATCTAGTGGATAAATCTGTACACATACACCAGCATCCTACCTCACACCCTATCAAACAAACAAAAATACTTAAAATGGATCACCAACCTGAATACAATAAGTCAAACAATGAAGGGTCTAGAAGAAAACATAAAATATATTCATTATCTTGGTCTAGGCAAATACTTCATAAATAACACTCAGATCTCTACTTATTTTTATGTTCTGTAAAGACTGAGAGCAATTTTTAGCAATCTAAAAGACATATGGCATCTGACATTCTAAAAGGATTTCTAGGAACAAACACTGGGTAAGTTCCCAGACTTTGTATTTCCCGAAGTCAGCATAAGGTGCAATATTGCCCCTATTTTGAGACCCTACCTACTCACAGCTGCCTCTCTCTCCTCTCCATGTGCATCATTACTGCCAAGGCTCTATGATTTAGGGGTACAAATTCTATCCTAAGTTTCTCAATGAGAAACTGGGAGCTGGTCCTAAACAAATCAGAGTATTCACATTCCCAAGGCCATGGTGGACAAAATAAGCCATTAATCAGATTCCATTTTTTTTACATTTTTTTTATTATTAGTTGTTCAAAACATTACATAGCTCTTGACATATCATATTTCATACATTTGATTCAATTGGGTTATGAACTCCCATTTTTACCCCATATACAGATTGCAGAATCACATCGGTTACACGTCCACGTTTTTACATACTGCCATACTAGTGTCTGTAGTATTCTGTTGCCTTTCCTATCCTCTACTATCCCCCCTCCCCTCCTCAGATTCCATTTTGATAATTATATTGGAACTGTTCAAAAAAGATGTCACTCTTCTCCCTGAAGCATTATCTTGGGAAGAAAGCAACACAGAACTTCTGAAGCCTATTGTGAAGAAAATATCCCAGCTGGAAGAAAAGACAATGCAAAAGGATGCACAACCAAGACACGGAGACAGAAAAATTCACATCTTTTAGCCAAAAGATCCAGATTAAAGCTTAGTTATAGCCAAGGACATTTTTGCAGCAAGGAAACACTTCAAAAGAAAAAAGGAAATGAAAATGGGTGAAATGCTTCAAAAGTTAGCCTAATAAAGATATCCAAATAACCAATAAGCACACCAAAAAGTACTCAAAATCATGACATATCAGGAAAATGCATATTTCAACAAAAAAAAAATATCACCACACACTCTGCTGAAGAGCTAAAGTTAGAAAGTGTGGGCCCAGTATGCGGAATAGCCAACACTCACATGCACTGTTGGGGACTTACTGGTGGAACCAACATTTTTGAAAATCTAAAGTATCTACCAAAACTACACTTGAAGTCTACCTTATCATTCAGCAATTGCATTCCCCACATACAGCATATACCAAGAGAAATAAGAGCAACCAAGTGACAAACCAGACATTATCTTGAGTAAAAGAAGCCAAACATGTAACAGTAATGTTGTAGTTTTAGCACTTATTTGAAAAGTGAGAAAAAGCACATCAAATCAAGAATAATAAGAGTCAAAATCTAATTTCCTCTGTGGAGTGATTATTGAGAAAACTTCCTGGAATCCTGGAAATGTGTCTAGCAGGATGTATACATCTATGTCAAATTACATCAAGCTGTACACAGCTTGCACATTAGTGTATGTATACCTTGATAAACAGTAAAAAGTGATTAAGGGAAATGGTATAGTTATGCTTTTAAGAGATAAAACATAATTTTCAAAAATATATTTAGTTGTTAATAGACCATTATTTTGTTCATTTATTTATATGCCATGCTAAGAATCGAACACAGTGCCTCATACATGATAGGCAAATGCTCTACCACTGAGCCACAACACCACCCCTTAAAATACAATGTTTTAAAAAAGGGGAGGAGGTAGCAAAATATACCTGAAACAGCTCATAGCACTCCTCTTCTCACATAAAGGCACTTACATCTTCCCTGTCTGAAGGTATCAAATATAAATTCTCCTCTACCAAAATAGGATGACGCCTATCTGAGGCTTGCCTCAATTACAGTCAGGATAACTTCATTAGCCACAGCTCTACTCACTTTTGGGACCACAGTAGGCTTGTATAGACACCAATCCCATAAGCAGAGTGAAGGATGGGACTGAACTGTGAGCATGATGACAATACTTCCACAAACTGGTCAACTCTAACAGGGCAGTGAAAGTGCCAGAGGAAGTGCAATGAGAAGCAAAAATGCCAAAATGGCAACGCCAGAGCTTGCCAAAGAAATCTAAGTTGTGTTTGGCCAGGATACAGCAGTTAATGGAGACATTTGTGGAGGTGCAGCCCCTGAGGAGACTGAGGTCAAGCACTTAACATTCAGTTTTGAGCAAGTATGGATCAGGGCGTTCAATACTCAGAAAAATGAGTTGAAAACTGGGGCCCACAAGGTCCCTACTCATCTGTCTACCTACATCGTGGTCCTAATAAGCAGGCAATTGTAGCTCCTTCCCTAAAGCCTTTCAAACTTCTTGCAAAGTTATTTTAGAAAACTATCACCTAGGATTAGAAGTGATTAAGGGAAATGTAGTCCTCAGCTATATCCAAATTAATATAACACACTTTATTAACTTAAAACATTAGATCAAAATTCCAGCCATGAGGGCTGGGGTTGTAGCTCAGTAGTCAAGTACTTACCTAGCGTGTATGAGACACTGGGTTTGATTCTCAGCACCACATATAAATAAATAAAATAAAGATCCATTAACAACTTAAAAAATTTAAATTAAAAAAGATTCCAGTCATGAACAAACATAAAGAATAAAACACAAAACAGCAAATAGATGAGACTATACTCTTTCAACGCCTTTGTACTAATTAATTTCTACTAAAACTTTTTTATTACACATGAAAAGCTTTTGATAGTAAACACTAATATTCTCAAAAACAGTTGGAACTCTTAGTTTAATGGGAAGGGGGTAATTATTGGGTATGCAACTTTCAGTATCCAGACAAAGGCGAAGGAAAAGAGTAAGATGAAGACAATGAAGAAGAAGAAGGCAAAGGCGCAGGCAAAGACAAAGACGAAGACGAAGAAGGTGCCCATGCTGTGAGTTCAAACTTAAACAATTAAAAAAAAAAAAAAAACCCACCATTTTCCTGCCTGCCAAAAAAAAAAAAAAATGCACTTGAGCCAGACTCAATGATATATGCTTGCACTCCCAAACTTAGGAGGCTAAGGCAGAAGTCCAGGAGTTACAGGCCTGGACAACATAGCCAGACCCTGTCTCAGAGGAGAGCATACACACACGTACACACACAATCTCCCAAGAGTCCAACAGCCTTAGTAATGGAAATAACATTTACATCTCAGCAAAAGAAACTCACCTCATACTCAAAAGTATGTCATAAAAGTAGAAAAGGGAAACATGTAACATTAAATCTTCCTATTAGAAAACATTGGAAATCAATGACCTCTAGAAGTCCACTTTAATGAGGCACTGATGTTCTTTTCTGGCTCAAATTTTGAATTTTCTTATACAAGGGTTGAGAGCCACAGCCAAGTCAAGATGGCGTCTGGCACTTTGCCAGGAGGAGTGGTTTGAGAAGTAATGTCAGCGAGCTATTAAGATGATGAGGATTCCTTAATGACTGACTGCTGTATCTAGATGATGTTAATTGAGTTAAGCTGTGTCTAATTATTAAGATGGGGAAGATTCCTTAATGACTGATTGCTGTAACTCGATGATGTTAATTGAGATAAGCTGTCTGTATTTACTTGGGTATATAAACCTCCCGCTGTTTCCACCTTCACAAGTTGCTTGTCGCGCCCCCCCCACCGGCTACTTTGCACAGCCCAGCCAGACTGCGGCACAAGTTATGTTCAAAATCAAAAGGCTTTACCCTATAGCTAACAAACACAGGGTTTCTCTCTGTTGTCCTCAACCATTCAAAAGAATGAGTGATAATCTTCTACTTTCTCACATTTACAATGTCTCTACAGTATGAGACTTCACAAAATGAGACTACACAAATTGCATTAGTTCAGAAAAAGTCTTGCAGAGATTCCCTTACTCCTTACACTTATATGTTGTCCCTTGTGTGAATTTTCACGTCTTCAAAACTAGGCTGTACAAATAAGGGCTTTGTCACATTCCTTACATTAATATGGTTTCCCTCCAGTATAGCTTCTCACATGTATCCCAAAGGATGAGGGGGAACTGAAAGCTCTTCAACACTCCAGACATTCAAAGGGTTTTTCTCCACTGTGCATTCTAGCATGTATAGTCAGGGATGAAGAATGTCAAAATGCCTTCCCACATTCCTTTCATTCATAGGGTTTTTCCTCAGTGTGGATTCTCATGTGGCTTCTAAGAGCTGAGAAACGAATAAAGGCTTTCCCACATTTTTTACATTCATAAGGTTTCTCTCCAGTGTGAGTTCTTCTATGTACTGTAAGATGGGAAGAACTACTGAAGGCTTTCCCACATTCCTTACATTCATATGGTTTCTCTCCAGTATGGCTTCTCACATGTATCCCAAAGGATGAGGGAGAACGGAAAGCTCTTCCACACTCCAGACATTCAAAGGGTTTTTCTCCAGTATGCAGTCTTGCATGTATAGTAAGGGATGAAGAATGTCGAAATGCCTTCCCACATTCCTTACACTCATAAGGCTTTTCTCCACTGTGAGTTCTTAGGTGTTCAGTGAGGGATGAGGAATGACGATAGGCCTTCCCACACTCCTTACATTCATATTGCACCTTACCATTGTGATCTCTCACGTGTTCATTAAAGGAAGAGGGACAACTGAAGGCCTTCCCACATTCCTTACATTCATAGGGTTTCTCTCTACTTTGATTTTTCACATGTGTGTTCAGGAAAGTGGGAAGACAGTAGGCTTTCCCACATAACTTACATTTATAGGGTTTCTCTCCGGTGTGTGTCCTCACATGCACAGTGAGTTTTGAGGATTCACTGAAGGCCTTCGCACACTCTTTACATTCATAAGGCTTCTCTCCTGTGTGAATTCTTATATGTCTTTTAAGATGAGAGGAAGAGCTAAAGGCCTTCCCACATTCCTTACATTCATATGGCTTATCTCCACTATGAATTCTTTTGTGTTTGGAGAGTGATGAGGAACAACTAAAGGCCTCCCCACATTCCTTACATTCATAGGGCTTATCTCCATTGTGAATTCTTTTGTGTTCTGTGAGGTGGGAAGAACTACTGAAGGTTTTCCCACATGCCTTACATTCATAGTTTGCCTTTTCACTATGAATTTTCATATGTGCTCTGAACATGGAGGAACAACTGAAGGCCTTTATACATTCCTTACATTCATATGGTTTTTCTCCATTGTTGTCTTGAAGAGCAACTAATTCCTTAGTATTAAGTAGAGACTCAAACCCTGAAACAAAAAAATAAAAGAAAATAAAGTTACCTATGAGCAAAGGACTTTGAGCAGTGCAGCTGTTTCAGGACTTCATTACTAATAGACACAAGGATCAAAAGTAAAACAGTTCACTAAAAAATATTTCCATGAAACCACAGTATAGTAACATTACCATAGTATGGTAACACATGCTTGTAATCTCAGCTATTTGGGAGGCTGAGATAGGAAGTTCACAAATTCAAGGACAGCCTCAACAACTTAGACCCAGTCTCAAAATTAAAAAGGGTATGGGATATAGCTCAGTGGTAAAGCACTCCTGGGTTCCCCAGTGCTGAAAAATAAAAAAATAGTTCTATGAAGAATGAAAGTGATGGTAACATGACCAGAAGAAATTATTGGGACCAGAGACATGAAAAATTGGGCTACAAATGAATCAAAATGCATTCTGCTATCATGTATAACAAATTAGAACAAATAAATGAATAATTTTTTTAAAAAAAAAAAAAGAAAGTTTATGTTAAAATTTTTCTGTTAACTTGACATTTCATATTAGTTTGGAAAATATATTAAAATTTTTCATTAATAATTTTTTAAAAATTACTAGGCGAGGAAAACAGAATGGATAAAATACACATACCAAAAACAAACTTTAAAAAAGCAAATATGGAGATCTTTGACAAGAACAAGGAAAGTATGAGAGGACAGATAAACAGTCAAAATAGTCCTCTGAGGCATCTATGGATAATGAGCCTCCTCAGACAAAACAAACTTTTGCTTTATTTCTATTTTATTTTTTTCTCCTCCCAGGCCAGTTTCTCCCAGGGATTCTTGCCTTCCTGGTGCTGCTCCATACAGATGCCCTGGATACGTTCTGTCTTCACTGTGTGCAGCTCCTCCTCTTGTTCCCACTGGGAGATCAGATTGGGTGTGAGTACTGAGTATCCTGCACACAAGGAAAGGAATATCATGAGGAAAAGCAATGAAGAATCACAAATATCTTACCATAAGATTGGGTCAAACTTTGGTCTTCTGATACTCTAAAGACAGAGAAGAATGAGTTTAACTGAAATAAAATGTCAAATCCATTGAAGAAAAAAAAAGGCAAAGGAAGGAGGGAGAGGAAAGAAGAAAGAAAAGAAAAATAGAGAAGGTAAAAGAAAAAGCTGAGATGTGGGGGGAAAGGCAGCCTCTAATGTGAAAAACTGATCTGAATCAGACATGGTGACACAAGCCTATAATCCTAGGGTGGAATTGGGAGGCTGGAGGATCATGAAGTCAAGGCCAACCTCAGCAACTTAGCAAGATCCTATTTCAAAGCAAAGAAAAACAAAATTTTAAAGGATTGGGGATGTAGCTCGTGGTAAAGTGCCCCTAGGTGTTCAATTTCCAGCACAGAAAGAAAAAGAATAAAACATTGATCTGGGCTGGGATTGTAGTTCAGTGGTAGAGCTCTTGCCTAGCATGTGCAGCAAGGTGCTGAGATTGATCCTCAGCACCACATAAACATAAATAAAATAAAGGTGTAAAAAATTATTTAAAAAAAAAAAATGAAAGATTGACCTAAATTCACAGTGGAACCTCAATATTATTATAAGCTGATCTGACACAGCCAGAATATTTTTTATTTATTTTTAATATTCTTTTAGTTGTTGTTGGACACAATACTTCTATTTTATCAGGTTGAACACGGTTTCACCAAAAGTCATGTCCAAATATATCAATGAAACAGAGTACAGAGCACAGATACAGATCTACATAAGTTGGCCCTCTATATCTGTGAATTCAAGCAACCATGGATAGAAAATACAATAGGAAAAAATTACATCTGTATTAAGCATGTATTTTGTTGTGCTTATGTCCAAATCAATATAGTACAAAAGTAATAATGAATAAGATAGGATATTAAATGTTAATGGCCTAAACTCACCAATCAAGAGACATAAGCTAGTAATCTGGATCAAAAAAATGAATCCAACAATATGCTGCCTTCAGGAGACTCATATGATAGGAAAAGACATACACAGGCTGAAGGTGAAAGGTTGGGAAAAATCATACCACTCACATGGCCCTCGGAAGCAAGCAGGAGTGGCCATACTCATATCGAATAAAATCAACTTCAAACCTAAATTAATCAAAAGGGATAAAGAACGACACTATATACTGTTAAAAGGAACCATCCACCAACAAGACATAACAATTATCAATATGTATGCACCAAACAATGGTGCAGCAACATTCATAAAACAAACTCTCCTCAAGTTCAAGAGTCAAATAGACCACAACACAATAATTATGGGTCACTTCAACACACCGCTCTCGCCATTAGACAGATCCTCCAGACAAAAGCTGAATAAAGAAACTAGAGAACTCAATAACACAATCAATAACCTAGACTTAACCGACATATATAGAATATATCAAGCATCATCAAGTGGATACACGTTCCTCTCAGCAGCACATGGATCTTACTCAAAGATAGATCATATATTATGCCATAGGGCAACTCTTAGTAAATATAAAGGTGTGGAGATAATACCATGCACCATATCTGATCATAATGGAATGAAACTGGAAATCAATGATAAAAGAAGGAAGGAAAAATCATGCATCACATGGAAAATAAACAATATGTTACTGAACGATCAATGGGTTACAGAAGACATAAAGGAGGAAATCAAAAAATTCTGGAGATAAACGACAATACAGACACAACATACCGGAATCTATGGGACACAATGAAAGCAGTTTTAAGAGGGAAATTCATTTCCTGGAATTCATTCCTCAAAAAAAGAAAAAACCAACAAATAAATGAACTCACACTACATCTCAAAACCCTACAAAAAGAAGAGCAAAACAACAGCAAATATAACAGAAGACAAGAAATAATTAAAATCAGAGCGGAAATCAACGAAATTGAAACAAAAAAAACCATTGAAAAAATTGATAAAACTAAAAGTTGGTTCTTTGAAAAAATAAATAAGATCGACAAACCCTTAGCCATGCTAACAAAGAGAAGAAGAGAGAAAACTCAAATTACTAACATACGGGATGAAAAAGGCAATATCACAACAGACACTACAGAAATACAGAAGATAATCAGAAAGTATTTTGAAACGCTATATTCTAATACAATAGAAGACAGTGAAGATATGGATAAATTTCTTAAGTCATACGATCTGCCCAGATTGAGTCAGGAAGACACACGCAATTTAAACAGACCAATAACAAAGGAAGAAATTGAAGAAGCCATCAAAAGACTACCAACCAAGAAAAGCCCTGGACCGGATGGGTATACAGCGGAGTTTTACAAAACCTTCAAAGAAGAATTAATACCAATACTTTTCAAGCTATTTCAAGAAATAGAAAAAGAAGGAGCTCTTCCAAACTCATTCTATGAGGCCAACATAACCCTGATCCCGAAACCAGACAAAGATACTGCAAAAAAAGAAAACTACAGACCAATATCTTTAATGAACTTAGATGCAAAAACTCTCAATAAAATCCTGGCAAATCGAATACAAAAGCATATCAAAAAAATTGTGCACCATGATCAAGTAGGATTCATCCCTGGGATGCAAGGCTGGTTCAATATACAGAAATCAATAAATGTTATTCACCACATCAATAGACTTAAAGATAAGAACCATATGATCATCTGAATAGATGCAGAAAAAGCATTCGACAAAGTACAGCATCCTTTATGTTCAAAACACTAGAAAAAACTAGGGATAACAGGAACATACCTCAACATTGTAAAAGCTATATATGCTAAGCCTCAGGCTAGCATCATTCTAAATGGAGAAAAACTGAAGGCATTCCCTTTAAAATCTGGAACAAGACAGGGATGCCCTCTCTCACCACTTCTATTCAATTTAGTCCTTGAAATACTAGCCAGAGCAATTAGACAGACAAAAGAAATTAAAGGCATAAAAATAGGAAAAGAAGAACTTAAATTATCACTGTATGCGGATGATATGATTCTATACCTAGCAGACCCCAAAGGGTCTACAAAGAAACTACTAGAGCTAATAAGTAAATTTAGCAAAGTGGCAGAATATAAAATCAACACGCATAAATCAAAGGCATTCCTGTATATCAGCGACAAATCTTCTGAAGTGGAAATAAGAATAACCACCCCATTCACAATATCCTCAAAAAAAATAAAATACTTGGGAATCAACCTAACAAAAGAGGTGAAAGATTTATACAATGAAAACTACAGAACCCTAAAGAGAGAAATAGAAGAAGATCTTAGAAGATGGAAAAATGTACCCTGTTCATGGATAGGCAGAACCAACATCATCAAAATGGCGATATTACCCAAAGTTCTCTACAAGTTCAATGCAATGCCAATCAAAATCCCAACGGCATTTCTTGTAGAAATAGATAAAGCTATCATGAAATTCATATGGAAAAACAAAAGACCCAGAATAGCAAAAGCAATTCTAAGCAGGAAGTGTGAATCTGGAGGTATAGCGATACCAGAGTTCAAACTGTACTACAAAGCAATAGTAACAAAAACAGCGTGGTACTGGTACCAAAACAGGCAGGTGGATTAATGGTACAGAATAGAGGACACAGAGACCAATCCACAAAATTACAACTTTCTTATATTTGATAAAGGGGCTAAAAGCATGCAATGGAGGAAGGATAGCATCTTCAACAAATGGTGCTGGGAAAACTGGAAATCCATATGCAACAAAATGAAGCTGAACCCCTTTCTCTCGCCATGCACAAAAGTTAACTCAAAATGGATCAAAGAGCTTGATATCAAATCAGAGACTCTGTGCCTGATAGAAGAAAAAGTTGTCCCCGATCTACATATTGTGGGATCGGGCTCCAAATTCCTTAATAGGACACCCATAGCACAAGAGTTAATAACTAGAATCAACAAATGGAACTTACTCAAACTAAAAAGTCTTTTCTCAGCAAGAGAAACAATAAGAGAGGTAAATAGGGAACCTACATCCTGGGAACAAATTTTTACTCCTCACACTTCAGATAGAGCCCTAATATCCAGAATATACAAAGAACTCAAAAAATTAAACAATAAGATAACAAATAACCCAATCAACCAATGGGCCAAGGACCTGAACAGACACTTCTCAGAGGAGGACATACAATCAATCAATAAGTATATGAAAAAATGCTCACCATCTCTAGCAGTCAGAGAAATGCAAATCAAAACCACCCTAAGATACGATCTCACTCCAGTAAGATTGGCAGCCATTATGAAGTCAAACAACAATAAGTGCTGGCGAGGATGTGGGGAAAACGGTACTCTTGTACATTGCTGGTGGGACTGCAAATTGGTGCGGCCAGTATGGAAAGCAGTATGGAGATTCATGGGAAAGCTGGGAATGGAACCACCATTTGACCCAGCTATTGCCCTTCTCGGACTATTCCCTGAGGACCTTAAAAGAGCACATTATAGGGATACTGCCACATCAATGATCATAGCAGCACAATTCACAATAGCTAGACTCTGGAATCAACCTAGATGCCCTTCAATAGATGAATGGATAAAAAAAAATGTGGCATTTATACACAATGGAGTATTATGCAGCACTAACAAATGTCAAAATCATGGAATTTGCAGGGAAATGGATGGCATTAGAGCAGATTATGCTAAGTGAAGCTAGACAATCCTTAAAAAATAAATGCCAAATGTCTTCTTTGATATAAGGAGAGCAACTAAGAACAGAGCATGGAGGAAGAGCATGAGGAAAAGACTAACATTAAACAGAGACGAGTGGTGGGAGGGAAAGGGAGAGAGAAGGGAAACTGTATGGAAATGGAAGGAGACCCTCATTGTTACACATAATTACATATAAGAGATGGTGAGGGGAAAGAGAAAAAAAAAAAACAAGGGAGAGAATTGAACAACAGCTGATGGGGTAGAGAGGGAAGAGGGGAGGAAAGGGGAGGGGGGATAGTAGGGGA